CTTATGGAAAATTACAAAAATCAGTAACTATTTCCCCTTTTTAAAAATTTTGCCAGAGTGTATGTGCTCATCGGAGAGAGAAAGGAGTGAGAAAGCACCAACTTCCCCCCAACCACCACCACCACGAGGCATGGTCATGCCACAATCTCTTCTTCCTGTTGGGATTTTGAACATGCACCCACACATGCCTGGTGTGTTTTTCAAGCCACTGACTCTGGGACTCAAAACTGTACCATTGACCTTGTTGGATCTATCTCATATAACCACCATGTCGCAGGCCGGCCCATGCTTATAAAACTTTCTTTTTTAAGTATAAAGCAGACAAAGTGTGGGGCTAGATATTTACAGTCTTTTCCAAAACTTTTCATTTTTCTTATTTAAAAAAGTGAACAACAACTGAAAATTAAGATCACTGTTTTCTAACATTTGCTTAAAAATGCACCTGAACTTGAGCAATGTTTTGACTATTTTGGGAGAATATCTAGACATACGGTGGTAAACATTAGTATTGTACTGATCGTCTTCCCAATCTTTGCTTTAAAGCCCCAATTTTGTTTGGGGTACTGTATTATAAATGGAGTCAGGATAGTTTAGTCTGACTCCCTCACCTCCTATCTTATCATGTTTGAAGGTCACAGGGTAAGCAACTTATGTTATTAATTGGATTGCATTTATGTGCTTGTTATGTAACTACGACCTTACTGTTTTATGCCATTGAACGTCACATGAGTGTTTGTGCACAATGGTATGGCTTTGGCAATGAGCCACTATGGTCTGCAGCCCCTTTAGAAGAAAGGAGTACTTGGTCAGCCAGCTCTGCCCTGCTAGTGAGCCCTGCTCTGCTTGTCCTTGTTTCCACTCATTCAGCCCTGATGGTCATGGCTTGGCTCAGCCTTTGCTTGGCTCAGCTCAAGTCCAGGCTATGACCTATGAGGGAAGAAGCACTTCTGAGTGTTCTTGACGTGCCTTATAAGCTCCAAGATGGAGGAAGCATTCTATGAGCTCCCACCAAACTAATCCAATAAAGAACATGACATCTAGGGCAAACAGAGGGCATAGTGGTTAAAGTATTGGACTCACATGTGGCACACCACAGCTTGAGTTTCAGACCTGGCAACTTGAAATTCACACTGGGAGCAAGTACACACTCCCAAAAAGAGAATGGAGAACGGATTGCATTGTGATGTGGCCATCCCCTCTGGGGGTGAGGGGGTAAGTTCCCACTTTATCTATCTCTGTGTCTCTGGTGAGCTCAAGTGCCCTATATCAAAAATCTCTCAAAAGAAGAAGAAGGAGAAGAAGAAGAAGAAGAAGAAGAAGAAGAAGAAGAAGAAGAAGAAGAAGAGAAGATGGCATTGGTGCCTCATGTGTTTTTCCAGCTCCCTGTGTGGAGGTAGATATGACCTACCCTTGAGAGGAGGAAAGGAGGAAAGGATCTTGGAAAACAAGTACATTGTGGCCAGCATCTGGCAATTGGCTTATGCTAGGATTTCATAACCTTGACATTATGAAGATTTGGGGAGTGAATGTTTTTGTTGTTGTTGTTGTTGTTGTTGTTGTCAGGGACTGTCCTGTACTTTGTGGGATATTTACCAATATACTTTGCCTCTACCCACTGAAGGCCAGTAGCATCCATCTTCTAGATGTAACAACCAAAAAATGTCTCCCGATGTTGTCATATGTCTTCTGAGGGGCAAAATGTTAATAAATATATGTAGAATCAGGGAGAGTTGGAAAGAATACTTTTTCCTGACCTTCAGCCTGGTCAGTTCCTACCAGTGGCAGAATTCTCAAAAGAAAACAGTGCATGCATGATAAAGTCTTCAGAAGTCACATTCTAGAACAGAGCAGAAACAAGAGAGTATAAACACATTAATTTTAAAGAAATTTGATTTGTTTAGAAGAGGAGAGGTAGGATGCAAATTTAGCAAGTCAACTCTCTTGTTGACAGGCAGTAATATTCATATCACCTTGATCCTACTTTTAGAATGGTGCTCATGGCAGGCTGGTCCTGTTGCTTAGTGCTTAAGGGAGCTGGATCCCACATGGCCAGCCATGCTTGAAAAGCACACCAGGCAGGTGTGCATGGGTTCTCCAAATTCCAACAAGATTGAGAAATGTAGGAGAAGAGATTATGGCATGACCATGCCCAGTTGCAGGGTGTTTTCTTCCTCTCTCTCTTTCTCTCTCTGGCATATGCATGTACCCTCCGGCTTATAAACAACAATCAGGGAGAACACTGCTGGTGGAATCCATTGGTGGCACAGCAGTAACTCAAAGCTCTATGATTATGCACCCACACGGGGAGGCCCAGGTTTCCCCCCTGTGGCTTGCAAATATGTACTCAGTGCCCTTGAGAGACTGACTTGGACTTGGTTCATGGTGTAAAGACTGTGTTGGGGATGACTCTTTCTCTCTTTCTCATGAAGAAATAAATAAAGTTAAAGAAAGAAATAGAACTTATTGAAAATTTATCTTGATAACTCCATTCTTCTTTGGTATACCTGCTCCTGATTTCCCACTGAGGTCCTTTTCCTTCCAAATCAAGCACAAAAGGTAAATTGATCAAAAAGTCCATGGAAAATGCATATTATGAAAAAAAAATGATGTATGCCATCTAAAAATGTCTTTTCCACCAAATAAACTCATACTTTAATTCTGTTTTTCCATAAAATATGTGAAGTCTTCTCATAAGAACAAAATGTATGAAGTCTTCTCAGAAGAATTATACAATCCAGATGCCAAAGGGCTAAGTATATGTCTGCCCATTTGGTTTGTATGTGGTGGGTCAAAGTATGGTGGCCATACCACAGAATGCGGGGGGCAGGTGTATATAGAAGAAAGTGAGGGGAATGGTCAAGGCACATAAACCACCATCAGGTGAAGGATGGTTAACCTTGAAGACAGCTGAGTCAAGAAAGTAAGGAAAATCAAGTTCCCACCTTCATTTAGTGCTATGTGTTAAGAAAACTCTCACGGAAAAAATAAACTCTCTCCCTTACTTTTTTTGAAAGAGAGCTTGTACCATGACTGATCCTCTCCTCAGAATATTAAGCCTACCTAAATTGATTTCTACCATCTGTTCATGGACCAGGAGAAACTGAAAGGTTTTCCATTTTGACCAACACCATTATTAAAATTAAACTAAGATCAACACAAATATGTCCAAATATTTTCTGACAAAGGCACGAAAGTAGGCCAGTTGGGAGTATGGTAATTAAGGTGGCTAGACCCTCAAGGCCAGCTGTGCAGTTTGAGTCCCAGACCTGCTGGCTTGAAAAGCACTCTGGGTGTATGTGTGCATATGTCCCCAAAACTAAAAGGAGTAAGTATCTGACTGTTTCCTCATGAATAGGATGCTCTTTTGTTTTTTCTCTGTCTTTGGCAAGCTCACATGCCCTCTAACAAAATTTTTTTTTGAAAGTAGTTTAATAAAGCAGTTTAGTAAAGGCAGTATAGTCTTTGTAACATATAAATAGTGTGGGAGCAATGGGACATTTGTAAACAAAAACAGATGAAAAACCCTTTGACCTAGGTCTCATACTTTAGGGAAAAAAAAAAAAACAACTAAAAATGAATCATAAATTTATATGTAAAATGTGAAACTTTAAGTGAAAAACAGAAAATTTGAGGGATCTAAGATTAAGTGAAGTTCATAAACATGAAACCCAAAGCACAATTTAAATTTTAAAAATTAATAAATTTTACCTTGTTAAAATTTAAAACTTTTGCTCCGAGAAAGACCCTGTTAAGAAGATAAAGAATAAGGTACAGACTGAGATAAAATATTTGTAAACCATATATATGACGAAGGACATATCTAGAATTGGTAAAAATTTCTCAAATCTCAACTCAATAAAAAAACCAAACACACTAAAAATACAATAAAAAAATAAACAACAGAAAACATAAAATATGACAACACCAAATGCTGGCAAGGATGCAAAGAAAATGAATGACTTACATTTATGGTGGGAAAATGAAATGATACTACTCTGGAAAACGGTTTGATACCTTCTTTTTCTTTTTTTTAAATTTTTTTTTACAATAAAAGTTTGTCTCTGTTTTAATCCACTAAATTTTACAATGATTTATTACATAGAAATAAATGCCTATAACAACATTCTTCAGTGGAAAATAATAGAATCTAAAATTTCTATAATGAATCATGCATAATATTCAAGATAAAACACAAAATTACTAGGTAGATATATTCAAGCAAAAGGTAGTCAGTGAAGACTGGCCATGGGGTAATCCATATGAGTCAACGTGCAGACAAAAATTTTCAGGTACATATTCCAGATATGCTCTCTTTTGTATTTTTATTTATTTAATTTTATTTTACTTTGCTTTTTTTCTTTTCTTTTCTTTTCCTTTTTTATTTTATTTTATGTTTTTATTTGCTGGAGGGTGCACATGCTTTCCAGAGAGAGAGAGACAAAGTGAGAGGGAGGAGAAAAAAATCATGGGGAATGGTCATGCCACAGATCTTTCTTCCCCATCTTTCTCTTCTTTCAGGATATTGGGAACACCTGCAATTCTACTCAGAGTGTTTTTCAAGCCACTGGATCTGTACCCAAACTGAGCCATTGACCATATGAGATTCCGCCCCTTCAATCACTAGACCATAGGCTACCCTGACAGTTTTTTTTTTCTTTAAAAATTAAACAAGAAATTACCATAAAATGAACATAGGAAATGTTTATTGGTGTTGTCATTTCATCTTCATACTGGCCCATGAAATATAGCAGTTATCAAATTGTTATAATGGTGTTGCAATAAATCTATTATTATACAGAGACCCTTTCTCAATAATCTGTTCTGGATGATAAAATACAAAGAATCTACATATAACTCTGTAAATATTTTCTTCAATTTAGAATGTGATTTTTTCCCCATTAAATCATTGGGATTAGGGTTCAGGGACCCTCCACATCAAATTAAATTTCTGGATTATGCATTTTTAAAAAATCAAAATAAAAAAGTCACTGACACACCTACTGTATTATAACATCATTTTATTTTCAGTTACATAAACAGCTTTCTCAAGTAATATTACTAGAACAACTTGTTTATGGCATTTTATGGCTTATGGTAAACATATTTTTTAAAAAATGAGCTTATCTCTATTATACAGAGTTGTGATATAAAAATTACTTATAGGCTATAGGCTATATTGTTCAGAAAGTCAGGAGCCAGACTATAATCTTGCTGAAGAAACTTCCCATTTAAGCCTATGGTATAGAGTAAAAGATATAATTAAAAAGTCTTCTGATCATGCTTGAGACCATCGAAGGGATGTTTAGTTTCCTCCACATAGAGCCACCAGGATCTTTTCATAATCTCCCTTGGTTTCATCCTGATGATTCAAAAAAAGAGTACACTTAATGCAAACCAGCACTCAAAATGATAAAAGATATTTTGAATTATAGAAGAAATTAAACTTGCAGACTTGCAGTCAGGTTATGCATTACATCGATTATCTGAATTACTTGATAAAAATATAATTAATTTCATTGAATAATAAATGGAGCACATACATGATACTTCTTGTTATATTAAAACAAATAGCTTACAAAATTTGGATTATAATCTCCTCTGAATTATGTTTCCTATTGGAATCGATATTTTCTAGCAATTAAATAAAATATCACACAGAATTAAATAAGCACAGTACAATATAATCTCATTTCATATATAAGGAAATACCTGATTCATTCACTAGGGAAATAGAAAGTTATAAGCTTATTATTTTCTCACCATTTTGGGGTAGATTTTAGTTTTTCTATACAAATAATGAATTGAAATGAGATAGTTATCCATCAATAAGTACAAAACTCTCAACGTTTCTCATTTTCAACATTCTAATGAGATAATATGAATATATATTTTAAATATTTTTATCTAACAAAATGAAGAATGTTTTCAATATGTCCCTAATTCTCTGACCAACATACATTGCAAAATAAATCATGATGTCTACTTGTAAGAGTAAAAATTAAAGAATTTTAATTATTAAATTTATTCATGGGAAATAAACATTGCCAGGATCTTGGCTGAAAAACTGTAGCTAGTTTTCCAGTAGAGAACTCACTAGTAAATATCACCAGTATAAGTTCAATTCACTACTGAAGTATGTAACCTAATATATTGTGTAAATCCAACACATAAAAGCGTATAGTAAGTCAACTCTTCTCTTTGAAGATGTTGCAAAAAAATCAACAAACCAAAAAACATTTCATTTGTGGGGAAGGCGTTATGAAAAACACAACATACCAGGATGGCTTGACAAAGAGAGATACCATACATCTTCTGATAGTATACTTTGATATCATTCATGTCAATTTCAGAGCGGGAAACCATAATCCTGATCAATGCTTTATGACGAGTTCCAGCACCCTGTCCAAAACAAATGATAGTTAAGTGCCTCTTGTATTTTAGAAAATACTCTCATTAAAGAAAGTGTGTTTGAAAGTGAAGCCCGTTTTAGTCATTATGCAACTTGTGTAGAGAAACTATCTCCACATTAACACACACACATGGGCTACTCAAGCAGTAACGAGATAAGAAACCAACATGGCCACATAAGCAGTAGTGACAGACAGCTTTTACAGCCCTCTGGTCTCCCACCATCCACTCTTTTCTCTGTCTATGCTATCCAATAATAATGAATAACGTGAACTTCCAAAACTGTAAATATGATGATCTAATTTATCTATTTAAAATAATTTAATGGTCTTCTGTTGCTCTTAGGATGAAAATCAATCATTTAACAGACTTATAATGTCTGCCAAATTCCACTACCTCTTCTTTTTTTCATTTTCATTTTTTTTTTTTTTGGAGAGGTTTTTGCTATAGGGCACGTGTGCTTGCCAGAAAGACAGAGAGAGATGAGAGACAGAAAGTGAGAAATCATCCCACAAGGGGGATGTCCACGCCACAATCCCTTCTCCTCCATTCTTCTCTCGGGATCTTGGGCACACACGCACATGTGCCCGGCATGAGTTTAAGCTGCTGGGTCCAGGACTCGAACCATAGTCAACTACATAGGAGTCCAGAGACATAGCCATTACGCTAACCACTGGTCCGCCACCACCTCTTGTATTTCACGCCATCATTCTAATAGTATATATTATCATTTTATATTTTAGAATTATTTTATTTAACTTTATTGATTTACTTATTTTATTTTGACCAGAGAGAGAGAGAGAGAGGAAAAGTGAGAAATCAAGCTTCCAGGTCCAGGCCTCAAACCACAGTTGGCCATGCTGGAGTCCAGTGCCCTTAACCACCACACCACCTGCCAGCCCCAATATGTATTATCTTTAAAGGGTCATGCTACCTTTATCTTTCAAGTCTGTGTACAGGTCGTTTCCTCCTTTCAGATCACCCTTGCTTTAACCCCTGCCTCCTGTTTCTTTCAGCCTTGCCCTTACCTTGTTCATTCCTACTCAAATTTTAAATCTTAGTTTAGCTGACAGCAAGAAACATTTTTTTCAGAGTCTGGGGCACATGTCTCACTGTGTTCTTCTATAGTACTATGTATTTATTTACCATTACCTGCCAAATACCGCATGGGGCAGCAACTGTGATAACTACCATAGAACAGCACATGCCCATCATTTTATTTTTATTTTCTTTTTAGGCTTTGCCATAGGGTGCTTGTGCTCACCAGAGAGAGACAGAGACAAAGAAAGAGAAAGGAGAAATCACTCCCCCGGGGTGGATGGCCATACCACAATCCCTTCTTTTCTTGGGATTTTGTGCACACCTTTACATGTATCTAGTGTGATTTTTCAAGCCTCCAGGTCTGGAATTCAAACTGTTGTCAGCCACATGGGAGTCCACCTTAACTGTCACACCATCTGCTGGTCCCAACACCTCTATCATTTAACAGAAGTTCCTTAATATTTGAATTATTCTATCTCCCTCTCTTGGGGGTACCAGGTGGAGTGGTGGTTAAGCGTGCTAGACACCCACATGGCCAACTGCAGTTCAAGTTCTGGACCAGGTGGTTTGCTTTCTCTCTCTCTCTCTCTTTCTCTCACTCTGCCTCTCTCTGGTAAAATTAAAATAAATAAATAAATAAATAAAATGTTAAATAATCCTTTAAAAAAAACAAGAACCCCCTCTCTCTTAATACCTCCTTGTTTTGAAATTGCCAAAGAAAAACCAAGATAACTTTATTACTCTTCCTTTGGGTACTCAAAATATAAATATAAAAGCAATATACTATATAATAGCATGCATGTGAGAGAGTAAGGATAAAGTGAAATAGTTGAAGACATATCTCAAATACATCTTAATAACACCTTCTACTTCCATAATAAGATGACATTTTATAAAATTCAACTATTAGTCCTGCCATGAAAGATAAAATGATAAAAAAGACAAATGAAAGGAAGTGAGAGATGATAGAACTCGCAACCTTAGCACAAGTAGGTTAGTAAAAATCACTCATTAAAAGAGGAAGTATTGTGCATCGACCTTCCTGAGGTGCCTCGGGTTTTAAACCAGTCACAAGTAAAGCCATGCATCACTTAAAAGCTCACTTTACCGTCTCACCTATGAAACAACATACCAGATATAACAGGAGTTTATCCTACTAAGGATATTAAAGTCTATCACCTCTGGCATCAAAACAGAACAATGATTCTCTTTAATGAGAAGATACTAAATGTGTGATTTTCAAACCACACGAGGTTTTCTGTTCTCTCTACAGATAAAGATTTCTACTCTAAGTCAAGCATATAAGAAAATGGTACCTTCATGGCCAGGTGAAGCTTCTCAGCAAAGAACGCTGGTTTGCTTGTAGCACACTTCACTGTAGGAGAGGTAAAATTGGGTTGACATATATACCACAAAAGAAGAAAGATGCATATGAAATAAACATAAAATATAGAATTTTGCCAACAGGATTCTATACTCCATCACTATTCTTTACCTTCCTCCCTGTATGGGACATGTGGCTTATAAGAAGGTAACGGTGACTCTTTCCTTGCTATTCATCACCTATTTTCTATTATAAGTTGAGTATTCCTTTTCTGAAATACTTGAGACCAGAAGTGTTTTGGAATTTTAATTTTTTTTCAGATTTTAGTATATTTGCATAAATATATTTTTTTAAATATCTTGAGCATGGGACACAAATATAAACACAAAATTCATTTTGTTTTATGTATGCTGTAGACACAGAGCCTGAAGATAATGTTATACAATATGTTTGTATTGTGGTGTTTTGACTGCAACCTGTCACATAAAGACAGGTGTGGAATTTCCATTTGTGGCACCATGTTGGTGCTCGAAAGGTTTTGGGTTTTGGATATTTGGATTAGGAATGCTTAAGTCCACTCCAATAGTAACTTTCATAGTTACCACTATCCTGAATATATTCTACTTAGAAATAGATTAACCAGTAGATGTTTAAAGTCATATGAGTAAATACTTTCTTTGTGCTGTAATAAGATTGACATTTTATAAAATTCAACTATTAGTCCTGCCATGAAAGATAAAATGATAAAAAAGACAAATGAAAGGAAGTGAGAGATGATAGAACTCGCAACCTTAGCACAAGTAGGTTAGTAAAAATCACTCATTAAAAGAGGAAGTATTGTGCATCGACCTTCCTGAGGTGCCTCGGGTTTTAAACCAGTCACAAGTAAAGCCATGCATCACTTAAAAGCTCACTTTACCGTCTCACCTATGAAACAACATACCAGATATAACAGGAGTTTATCCTACTAAGGATATTAAAGTCTATCACCTCTGGCATCAAAACAGAACAATGATTCTCTTTAATGAGAAGATACTAAATGTGTGATTTTCAAACCACACGAGGTTTTCTGTTCTCTCTACAGATAAAGATTTCTACTCTAAGTCAAGCATATAAGAAAATGGTACCTTCATGGCCAGGTGAAGCTTCTCAGCAAAGAACGCTGGTTTGCTTGTAGCACACTTCACTGTAGGAGAGGTAAAATTGGGTTGACATATATACCACAAAAGAAGAAAGATGCATATGAAATAAACATAAAATATAGAATTTTGCCAACAGGATTCTATACTCCATCACTATTCTTTACCTTCCTCCCTGTATGGGACATGTGGCTTATAAGAAGGTAACGGTGACTCTTTCCTTGCTATTCATCACCTATTTTCTATTATAAGTTGAGTATTCCTTTTCTGAAATACTTGAGACCAGAAGTGTTTTGGAATTTTAATTTTTTTTCAGATTTTAGTATATTTGCATAAATATATTTTTTTAAATATCTTGAGCATGGGACACAAATATAAACACAAAATTCATTTTGTTTTATGTATGCTGTAGACACAGAGCCTGAAGATAATGTTATACAATATGTTTGTATTGTGGTGTTTTGACTGCAACCTGTCACATAAAGACAGGTGTGGAATTTCCATTTGTGGCACCATGTTGGTGCTCGAAAGGTTTTGGGTTTTGGATATTTGGATTAGGAATGCTTAAGTCCACTCCAATAGTAACTTTCATAGTTACCACTATCCTGAATATATTCTACTTAGAAATAGATTAACCAGTAGATGTTTAAAGTCATATGAGTAAATACTTTCTTTGTGCTGTAATAAGATTAAAAAAAAAAAAAAACCTGAGGTAGGACAGGCTTTAAATATAAGACAGCTACCCAAATGAAATATGAAGATATGTCAGTTCTTGGAGTTTTTCACTTTGCTACTCTGATAGGAACCTATAAACCAAGGACCAACAGTGTTGGCTTCAAGCAGAAGCTTGTTGGAAATGCTGAACCATGCCCCAGTCCAGACCTCCTGAATCAGAATTTGCATTTTAACAAGGTTCTCAAGGGATTCACATGTATGGTAATGGTTAAGAAGCACTATTTGAGAACATAGGCTCCCCAACTCTAATGGTCATTTGAATATTCTGGAAGACCTGCAAAAAATACAGATTTTCAGAGGCTAACCCAAACCCACTAAATTAGAGCCTCCTGGACTTGCCGCAGTGGTACAATTAGTAAGTGGTAGACCAGGATTCTATCTTATATTTATCTATCAAACAAATCCCACACTCTTAGAGACCATTCTAAATTGTCTCTGTGGGGTGCACAGCGTAGTGCACCCCTTGGTCTAAGAAGGTGCCTAATAAGTACCTTCCAGCTCTCCATATTTTGGAATAGAGGAATAATATGTGCATTATTAAGAATATTGTCATATTTCTTTGCCAGTTTTACATGCTCCTATCTGAAACATAGAAGCACCATCTCTAATGGTTTATTTTATTTTGTTTTATTCTGTTTTGAGAATTTTTTTGTATGTGTGTTCCTTTTATTTTTATTGTTGTAAGTAGAGAGTAGTATTGAAAAGAGAGTTTCTAACTAGAAATCTCTCCCAGCTCCAGGATTACATACCAATGGCCGTGAGGCATTTCTCAATGTCACCTTTCAACTCCAGGTCCAGAACTTTGTTCATGTCATGCTGACTGTACTTGGTGTATCTCTGAAATACTGAACATTAAATATTAAATCTAAATATTAAGATATGTACAAAGCATCCTTTTTTTATTTAGCTTTATTTATTATTATTATTGTTGTTGTTTGTTTTAATTGTACAAAAGACACAGAGAAAGACTGAGAGAAAGTGAGAAAGCAGGCTGCCAGGTATGAGACTCGAACCGCCGTCAGCCACATGGGAGTCCATCATCTTTAACCACCATGCCACCTGCTGGCCCAAAAACATCCTATTCTTTAACAAATTTTAGCAACTGACTCAAAGAATTCCTTGGGATAACCAAACTTCAGCTACACTTTTCAAGCTATTTGTGCAATTAAACATAGTATGGTCACTTTGTCTTCTAGAAAGGTGACGCACAAGATCATTTTGATGTTACCATGTATTTATTGCGGGGTATTTTTGAAAGTGTTGACAGTCATTAGAAGTGGCATGTGATGGACAACTCTAACATTTACTACAGATATGTTAAAGCCACAGTAGATGGATTTTTCCTTATATCAAGATCTAGGGGGAACCAGCAGTTAGCGTAATGGCTATGTCGCTGGACTCCCACGTAGTCGACCGTGGTTCGTGTCCTGGACCCGGTGGCTTGAAACTCACGCCGGGCGCGTGTGCGTGCGTGCGTGCCCAAGATCCCGAGAGGAGAATGGAGGAAAGGGGATTGCGGCGTGACCATCCCCCCTGGGGGGTGATTTCTCGCTTTCTGTCTCCATGTCTCTCTCTCTCTGTCTGGCGAGCGCATGCGCCCTACCGTGAAAATCTCTCAAAAAAAAAAAAAAAAGATCTAGGTAATATATTTTTCCTAAGTTTAACATTAGATATCAGTGTGTTCTTTTATGACAATGAACTTCAGGTAATTATCATGACTCTCCTTTGTTTTGGCTTCTATAGGCTCAGAGCTAATTTTTGTGCTCAAAGGCTGAACAGCTTTTGTTTGTTTCTTTCTAGAGTGTCTACATACACTTTTCTTCATTTGAGCTTTAAGAGGTTTTCTTTCTTTATTCATTTATTTATTTATTTACATTGCCAAAGAGTTTGTTCACTCACTAGAGAGACAAAAAGGGAGGGAGAGGAAGAAAGAATCCGCTAACAGAATGTAGTCACTGCAATCCCTCCTCCATTTCTCCATCCTGTTGGGATTGAAGGCATGTGCACACATGCACCCAGGGCATTTTTCAAGCTACCAGGTATGGGATTCGAACAATAGTCAGCCATGTCAGACTGGATCCCTTAACCACTGGGTGACAGGGCCAACCCTTCTTGTTTGTTTATTTTTCTTCATTGAAATGTTATTTGTTCTGTCATACATGTGCTTTAGCCACATCTACTCTAAAGCTTTAGGAGGAACAGAAAAAGTAAAAACTAATGAGATGAAGTCCTACACGCTGAAGTCACGAATTACATTTCAAATATTATACAATCATGTCTGTACAAAGGAGATAAACGGGCAAATAGCAGCAATGGGTTCGAAGCAGTACCTTCATTTGATATTGGAATGACACTAATTAAGACTTCCCACTTTCCTTTTTCTTATTTGTCCTCAAAACAGAAACTGCGTTTTCCATAAACAGATATCAAAAAAAAAAAAAAAAAAACACACTTTTTTCCTGTTACCTTTGCGAAGGTGGTTATAGCTTCTGGTGGTAAGAATGGTAGTGAATACGTTCACATCCGTACCCTTCCTCCTTTCTCCTGCTTCATACAAGGCCTGTAAAGAAAGGAAATAATAAACACTAGCCTATCTGCTGAGGCGCTATTTGCACAAGAGTATCAGATCTCAACAGATTTTCTAGGCAACTGCTCTGTACCAATGCAATTCAAGCTGGCAACGCTGAGATCGCAAGTTCTTTAAAGAAAAGGACATTGTTTTGTTTGTCAAGTATGTCTCAAGGTACCCTGTAAACACTGGAGACTGAAGAATTCAATTGCTTTAAGATTAGGCCATGTATTAAGACAATGCCAAGAGGCTCTCTAAAAAAAGACATTTTACTCTTTATTATTTGAAGTAATTACCAGCAAATGGTATTTATAAATCAATAATTTAACCACCGCCTAGATCTTTCATTTTGAGAATTTCTGGATTCAAATTCTCACTCTGCAACTTAAAATATTTGTAATCTTAGACAAATAATTTAATTTTACTACACTGCAAATTTTCTTCCTTTGTAAATGAAAAGGATGATCCCTGCCCTATTGTCATACACATGTTCTGTTAACTTTGAAATGTTAATTACCATCATCCCTCTGAATCACACTAATCCATGTAGCCTCCATAGGTATACATCTAAGAGTACTGATAGTCTTAAAATAGAAAGTAAATTCAAAAATGTCCCAAGCAAATAAGAATAGGTTTTCACTATAGGCAATTATTCAAATGCTAACTCTTGTTCTTTGATATGGTTGCGTAATTTCAATTAAAATCATCAGATTTCCAATGGACATAAGAAGTTATTTTGGACTTTTCAAGCAAACTGGTCTGATATGTATGCATTTACTTAACAAAAAGTTAATGAGTGCTTATTATGCACAAGATAATGTGGTGGTACAGCAACATGGGTTAGGGAAAACGAATATATTTCTATTCTTATTGACTCATCATGATGAACTTATGTAGAGAATACTATTCCACGAAAAAGGTATAATCCAAATAGCTGGGGTTTTTTTGAGAGATTTTCACTATAGGGCGTGTGCGCTCGCCAGACAGGCAGAGAGAGACATAGAGACAGAAAGCGAGAAATCACCCCCCAGGCGGGATGGTCACGCCGCAGTCCCTTCTCCTCCATTCTCCTTTCGGGATCTTGGGCATGCACGCACACGCGCCCGGCGTGAGTTTTAAGCCACCGGGTCCGGAACATGAACCGCAGTCGACTACGTGGGAGTCCAGCGACATAGCCATCACACTAACTGCTGGTTCCCCAGATAGATGTTTTTTAAAAGCAGAAATTCCATGCCTTAAAATGGCATAATTTTGTCTAACGTTGCCAATAGATTAGTTAGGATTAACTAGCAACCTCACTGAAACGGTATGAAACAATATATCTGAAAGACTATGAATAAATCTTATTTAATATTATTGTGATATCATTGTAATAATGGTTTATAACATAAACTGATATTTATAAACCATTTCAATGACCACTTTTAAAAGAATGTAAGACAGACTTACTCCTTCCATTTATCTAAATAAAAAAATTCCCTTTCCCTTTCTCATACCTGATAAAATGAAAATTCAGAGTTTTCTGAAAAAATAAAACAATTCTTAGGAAAGACAAATCAGTCTCATTGCTCTCTTTTAATTCTCTCTGGCTTTATGAATGATATCTATCGAAAACTTAAAGACTATGCTTTTCTCTCTTGGGCTTCAGGAAAGTTGCCTCCTGAGAGTGAACATTTAGGAGCCCTCAGTCTCTCAAAGGAGCCTAGATTTACTTCCACATAAAGAGCATCAGGTGGAAACCCACCTGGGGCAGGCAGGCTGAGCACAGCAGAATTTATAAACACTTGCTTACCCTGGCATCCGAATCAACTAAATCTTCATTCACTCCAAAATCCTCAGATCGGTCACCCTGAAAGAAATCTCATTTTATTGTAAGATCTTCTCTAGCATGTAATCACAGAATTTACTTAGTTCTCTTAAAATTGCAAAAAACACCAATTTTTGAGAAAAAGATAATCTAGATCTCAAATCTAAAATTTGACTTTTCATAAAAGAAGAGGTATTTCCGGAAGTACTTGAGTTGTACCTTAGCAAGAGAAAGCAAAGCCTTCTGAAAATCTCCAGATGTGTCTGAGGTAATGTCTTTGGCCAGATCTCTTTTCAATTCTGAGAAAAAAAAAGAAAAAGTATACTGATTAGACAGACAAATAATCTCCAAAGCTCTTTGTCTCAACCCTCCTAATTCACTATGTAAAATAATGCTGTAATATAAAAAAGAAACTGAAAAACAACAATTTAAGAGGCTATCACTGTACTATATCTTGATATAGTGGAGAAATATAAATATTTACCTTTGTAAACTATACTTTATCAAACAGAACACTAAAAAGAGTCCTATCAATTATTATCTCTAGTATATGCACCTATGGTAAACATTGGTAATGAGATAAGAATGGCAGAAAATGAAGTTACTAGTTTCCTTATTTTGATTCTTTTATTAAAATGCTCTGAAAAGAATTTGCAAGAGCTGTTGTACTCTCTGTGCTTGGTTTGAGAATCAAGCAGAAAGATCCTCTATGATGCCACAAACTGGAATGGGAAAACAAAAAAGCCAATGACTCATGGAAACTGGAGAAAGAAAGTGGTAAAAGACCTATAGCCAGTATGGAGCTTATCATTTAAATGAGATATTTCACTGAATAGATAAAATGAGCCAATGGCTGGTCTAATAGAGGCAAAGAGTAAGTGAATCAGGTATATTCATACTAGAAAAGTTAGTTTCCAATAGAGAATTATCACCTAATTCTTTACTTTTTCAAGGACAAATGGAGACTATTTTGTTTGATGATGTTTATTTTCATTATTATGCATTCAAAATAAAAGACTAAGGAATGCTTTTATGAAATAGATCTTAGAATGTTTTTAGAAAAGTCTTAAATGTCGATGCTCTGAATCAAGGTTTCCATTATAATAATACATGATCATTTTTCCTATAAGAACATTTTCTATTAACGTACAGGCTTGATGTGGGTTGTGACACCGTCTCCTTTGTCAGTGCCCTAGCCAGCTGAATGTTACCTGGTAATGGTGTATGCATTCAATAGTCATGTGTCAAATAATAAAGAAAGCTTTTAATATGTAGCATTTCCAAAGTCCTCATAATTAACATTCCATTTAGTTTAAAAAAACTATATTTCTTTTCCAGCAAAGGCACTTGAACTGTTGAACATTACAACTTACCCTCTCTATAGACTCTGTTAATGTCTTTTATCTCTTTGTTATTTCTTGATACCAAAATTTCAATCAGAGTGTCTTCATCTGTTCCAAGTCCCTGCATTGAAAGAGGAGAAAAAAAAAAAGAAATATAGAAAAGTGTTCATTCAAGAAAATCAATTCATATTGTGACCCTAAATTTGTTTGAATTTGTCACTTAATAGATTTCACTCATAATATTTAATAATTATAATATGATCTATCATTTTTCTCTGAACCAAAATGGATTTATAGCCAATATTTAGTATAAGTATATAAAAAGTATAGATATAAGATTCATATGATGACATTGCTAGGAGATATTAGTGCCAATATATTTTTCATATATTTATTAATTCTTTAATTGATTCATCAATTCATCTATTCATTAAATTTCATTTCTTCTTCTTTTTTTTTGAGAGATTTTCACTGTAGGGCGCGTGCGCTCACCAGACAGACAGAGAGAGACATAGAGACAGAAAGCGAGAAATCACCCCCCAGGGGGGATGGTCACGCCGCAATCCCCTCTCCTCCATTCTCCTCTCGGGATCTTGGGCACGCACGCACACGCGCCCGGCGTGAGATTTAAGCCACCGGGTCCGAGACGCAAACCGCGGTCGACTACGTGGGAGTCCAGCGACATAGCCATTACGCTAACTGCTGGTTCCCAAAGGGGGAATTTACCACTGTATATTCCAGATATTGAGGATATAATAATAGGCATAAGCAGACTTGCCTCATGCATTCTTTTTTAAAGACTTTGTTTTATTCATTATTATTATTACTATTATTATAATTCATCAGAGAAAGAGAGAGAGGAAGTGAGAAAGCAAACTGCCAGGTCCAGGACTCAAACTGCAGTTAACCACAAAGGAGTCCAGAGCATTAACCATCAAACCACCTGCTGGTCCGCCTTCTACATTCTATTAAAGAAAGGAGTCTTGTTTAAATCAACTGATTTACCTTCATGGCAGCTCGGAGTTCATCAGCATCAAACTGGGCTGGAGTTTTTAGCATAGCTAAAGCAACTTCTTCAAGGTGACCAGTAAGGGCTTTCTTCAGAGCTTCATCCAAGGGCTGTACAAAAGAGATTAGAATCAGGGCTTCTAAAAGCAAATGTGTACATTGTGATATTACCTCATCTTTAGATCATCTTACTACTGATGTCTTAAACCAACCGTGTTTTAGAATTTCTTCTCTTCACAAATGAAAGAGTAACTGATGTTTAAGACTAACACCTTAATCTAGAGGACTAGAAAGGATAGGGTACCCAATCGTTTATACAGGAAAGAAATCGCGGAGCTAAAAACATAGGGACTAAGTGTTAACAGAAACCAAGAATACTTTAAAAACAAGGTATTTGTTTTTTAAGCTTTAAGGTGTGAAGTGCTTAAATAAGCACTATAATCAGATATTAGCTATGAAGTTTTCTAACTGCATTGCTTAAAATAAAAATTGTCCATATCTGGTATGAAAGATATAAAGTTCATTTTTTAAATAGAATTAAATGTAAATGTTATAGTTAACCATAAACAGCTTGGTTTGGATTTTAGCAGAAGGTAGATTCCAATCAGAACACATTCTTTGCTGCTAATAGTGATCTTGATGTTTATCATCTTCAAATTAAAGAGATCTCCGACAAAGAACACCACATTTGCAAAGAACTTACACCAAGATGACCAATATATGATACCAATACATTTGCTAGAATTGATTCAATTTCCATGAAGTGGGTAAATACTGCAATCGCAGTCTTAGGTGCAATGGAAAAACGGTGGTTAGAAACTGGAAGAACTAGCTTCTTGTGTTTCAGAACCATGATTAGACAAAAACATGACCAAAATTATACATCAAACTTTACTATTTTAACGTACCTTTCCCTTTTCTTGGAGGTATGCTGCTTTGATCTGTTGACGCTGTGCATTATTTCTCTTAGTTAGAATGTCAATGATGGTTGCTTCATCCACGCCTGGAAATAAAGGAGCACCAGGCATTAAAACCAATTTTCTTCATCATCAGTGATTAACATAAAATAATTCATTTTCAGGATCAGCTGTTGGCATAATGGCTATGTCGCTGGACTCCCATATAGTCGACTACGGTTTGCATCCCGGACCTGGTGGCTTAGTCTCAGGCCAGGCACATGGGAGTGTGTGCCCAAGATTCCAAGAGGAGAATGGAGGAAAGGGGATTGCAGTGTGCCCGAGCCCCCTGGAAGGTGATTTCTCACTTTCTGTCTCTCTGTCTCTGTCTGTCTTTCTGGTGAGTGCTCACACCCTATAGCAAAAATCTCTCAAAAAAAAAAATCATTATCAAGGTGTTTCAAGTAAAGATCTTAACAAACAAAGAAATACAAATTATCTCAATGTAGGAAATAGACACTACTCTATTTTTTAAACAGGAGCTCCTAAGATGACACTTCATTCATTTGAAGAAGAAAAGAAAAAGTATCAATATTTATTTATTCCTGGCCCTCAGTATTGCAGTATTTGTTCCTCATTAAAATCCTAAATGTAGGCAGAAGTGTTGATTTTAGCATTGAGTGTCTGCTAGAAATGAACTGGTAAGAACACATATGGTAACAGACATTCCACTGATTTGATTAAAATTGCCTAAGGGCTAACAAAGGAAGTACATCTTGATTTGACAAAGAAATATTTTTTATTATTGTTTTAATTTTTCTAATTGCCAAAGAGTACACACACTTGCAAGAGAGAGACACAGAGACAGAGAGAGAGGGAGCATCCCCCAATGGGATATGGTAAACATGCACTCATGTTTTTCAAGTGGCTGTAGCCAGGGTTTGGACCTCAGTCGACTATGTGGGATTCAGCCATGTGGGCTATTGAGCTGGCCCAAGAAGTCATTTTAGTTCAAAATGAAACACTCCACTGCACATGTCTGTTTTTCAATGGCCAAGGAGCCATTACACGATGTCCAGGAGGGAACAATCACCTTTAACTGTGATGGCTTTGTGCAAGGCCTCGACATCAGAGGATGGATCAAAGCTAGGATACGGGTACACCGCGGACCCAGGGCCGCCCTTGGATGTTTTCACAGTTTGCTATGAATGGGAGAGAAATAAATGAATGGCAATTCACAAATACCATTTTTATTTTAATATCATAACTAAATCCTTTCAAATATTGTTACTCTACTCACAACATATTCCTGCTCTTGATTGTCAATAAACCAGGCCTGCTTGAGGAATTCTGATACCATTGCCATTTTAAGAGATGAATCTGGAAAGAAAACAGATAGATGCTTTTACAAAACAAACCACCACACACAAGCACCTTCGCCCCTTAGATACCTAAGCCATGGCATTATAGAGTAGCCTTGTCTCAACTTCCCAGGATTTCACTCAGGAGCTTAATAAACGAGAGACTTAAGTTTAAAAACAAAACAAAAACTCATAGCCTCAGAAAATGGGCTTTTGTCATATTCAGTTCAACTTTGAGGGATCAGATAACCATGATGAGTAATCATATAGGCTCAACAGAAGAGCTGATGGTTCATGTCTTTGTTCTTTGTTCTTTTTTTTTCCCCTAGAGACAGAAATTTTTACTATAGGGCATGTGTATTCACCAGGAAGACAGAGAGTGAGACAAAGAGAGAGAAAGCAAGATATCACCCCCCCCAGGGGTGGTGGGGAATGGCTATGCTGCAATCCCTTCTCCATTCTCCTCTCTGGATTTTGGCCATGCACACACATGTGCTTGGCGTGAGTGTTAAGTCCCAGGGTCTGGGACTCAAACCGCAGTTGACTATGTGGGAATCTAGTGATGTAACCATTACACCACCTGCTGGCCCATCATGTCTAAGTTACAGACTTCTCACCACATGCCCAGCCCTGAGGGGATAGGAACATTGAAATATCTAATCCTATGCCTCAGTATCTGAGAGCTAGGGTGTACACTCCATGATAAAACATGTGTTTGCCAATCCCAGCCCCTCTTGAAATGAATCAAGATTTACCAAGCAAAAAAGTAGAATAAAACAAAAAAAAGCTTGGGAAGCTGAAAGAAGTTTGTTAGGGGCTGAAATGTTGGCAGAAGCTAGAAAAAAACGTTTAAATGAACTTTTTAAGCTCCAGTGCAAATAAGTTTTAAAGAGTATAAATTATAAACTTCGGTTTACAAGAGTAAAGGAAATCCAAACCTTCTTTTTTGTTATTGTCTGAAATAGTTCACAATAATGTGTATCTGTCATCGAAAAAACATATTGCCTGAAAGAAAGGACTGGCTAGTGTGCAAAGTGTTCACAATCTTTTGTGAAACTGGAGTTTATCATTAATTTGTATCCATAAACTATTGTTATAAAGAGCACCTGTATTTTTGGTTCATGTGAAATTGCAACTGAAATTTATCTTGCCAAAGCTTTCTGAATAAACTGAATAGAATTTTTGTTAACCAACAAAAAGTTTAAATATATCCCCAAAGTTTTGGGAAAACATTAATGAGTTTTTCAAAACAGGGGTCAGCAGGTGGCATCGTGGTTAAGGTACTAGACTCCCCACAAGGCTGACCATGGTTTGAGTCCTGGACCCAGGAGCTTGACACTCAGTCTGAGCACATGGGTATATATGCCTGAAATCCTGAGAGGAGAATGGAAGAGAAAGGATTATGGTGTAGCCAACCCCATGTGGGGCAATTTTTCACTTTCTGTCTCCGTCTGTCTCTCCAACCTTATAGCAAAAATCTTCTCTCAAAAAAAAAAAAAAAAAAGCTGCATGATTCCATTTATATTTCAGAAAGATCATTCAACCTGTAGCATGGAGAATGGCTGAGAGATGGGTGGTCATTTAGTAGGCCATGAGAGAAACTATGCAGGATTAGTAAGGGCTGCATACAAGTAATGGCTTGAGAAAGAGCATAATGTCTACATTTATAAGGTAAAGTCATCTCTTACTAGCTGCAGAAGTGCATTCAGACTCAAAGTTCATGCCACATACTTCTTCCCAAATAATTTAGTAACTTTATTCATTCCTTGGTTTGAAATCATTTCAGCAATTCAAATACTTGCTACCCTTACATTTTTTCCTATGTGAGCTACTTAAACAGTAGTCTCACGTGTTTTTCCATCTAAGACAAATAATTCCCAAAGATTTATTTTATACCAGGTTTTTGGATTTGTTTTTACTTCTGTTTTTGTTTTTACTAGAACAGAAAGTATTTGGGGGTAAAATTGCAGCATGCATGCACTTCTTATAAATTCTATCTTAAAAGAAATTCTTTTTTTCCTTTTATTTATTTATTTTTACATTTTTTCACATTTACTTTACATATCAAAAAAATTTAGCTCATACTCCATAGTTTTTCTTTTTTTTTTTTTTTTGGAGAGGTTTTCGCTATAGGGTGCATGCGCTCGCTAGAAAGACAGAGAGAGACATAGAGACAGAAAGCGAGAAATCACCCCCCAGGGGGATGGTCACACCACAATCCCTCTCCATTCTCCTCTCGGGATCTTGGGCACGCATGCTCACATGCCCGGCGTGAGTTCTAAGCCACCAGGTCCAGGACGCAAACCATGGTCGACTACATGGGAGTCCAGCAACATAGCCATTACGCTAACTGCTGGTTCCCCAATACTCCATAGTTCTTGACAGTTTACAAATTCTTGAATTGCTACCCTGGTTTGGCAATATTTTAATTTAATGAAATATGTATATTATTAAAACCTGACATATTTTAAAAATCAATGCACTCTCTGTCTGTGTTCTTTACAAAAACAAACAAAGAAACAATAAACTTGATGCCATCAACAATCCTTTTTTCTGAGAATGGAGTTATGAGGAGTCCAGATTCAAGGTCCACACATTGATCTTTTTCTATACCCTTTTGTTTTGTCCCTCTACAGATTACTATCATGATACTGATGAGGGAGGTTAGAAAGATAACCCTGACAGCTCCAAGTTCATGATATAAAGCTGAGTGACTCACGAATAGCAAACCTGATGCCTCTGTAGCATGTTCAGACAAAGTATTTCAATACACACCTGAAATTTCAATGGAAAAAAATAACCACAGTTCTGAGTAATGAGATTAAATGCATGAGAAAAATAACATCCACAGCAGAAACCACCTCTCTTAATTACCATGGGAATTGTTTAAATTACAGTTTCGTCATCAGTGAGAAAAACCAATATATTGTGTATTCACTTAAAATAATGTCTTCCCTCCAGTAATCGATAAACTTGAAGCTATTTCCTGAAGTAAAGTCATGGTGTACTATTTTGCATAAGGTCTTAGTTTCCATTTTAATCTAACTTGGTGCGATTGTCATTGCCATATAAAGTTTCACATTTGAACTGCTAAATTGGCACACCCAAAACTTCAAAGCAATTTTGGCAAAGATTCAAGTATTCAAATTTCTATTTGCACCATCTCATCCAAACCTTTGGTACAGCTGAATCCTCAAAATGAATGGTGTGACTGATCACTTGGCAAAGTATTTTTCCATTACTTACAAAGCATGTTCAAGAGTTCCATTCTTTCTCATTAGAAAAGAAAAGTTTCAGAAGAGAGCAAAACTGAGTCTAAAGATACTGTCAAATATAATACAGGATGAGCATCCTGATCTGACAATCAGAAAAGCAAAAAGTTACAAAACCCCCCAAAAAACTGATCACTGACAAGACACCGTAAGTGGAAAATTTTCCACCTGACCTCAGGTACAGATGGTAGTCAAAACAGTTTATTGAGCATCCTTCCTCCCTTCAACTGTGATGTATCTTATCAGTGCACAACACATTCCTTCATGCAAATACACCCACACAAAACTCTCATGCACAAGATTTAAAATATCTTATCAAATTGGGAACAGATTCAGTTGTATCTTATCAGTGCACAACACATTCCTTCATGCAAATACACCCACACAAAACTCTCATGCACAAGATTATTTAAAATATCTTATCAAATTGGGAAGAGATTCAGTGCTGATGCAATGTTCTGTGATGCTAGATCCACAAAGGAAGGCCTTGGTTGGCATACTGAAGGCTCCTTATACATGCGGGGCAGGCATGTACATGCTCATGATCCTGGCTGACTGAGGTAGGCTACAGCATAGAGACCCTGTTGTGTGTGGCTCTGTGTGTGTGTGTGTGTGTGTGTGTGTGTGTGTCCCAAACATAAATAAATTTTTAAAACTTAAAAAATGCATATTGTACAAAATTATCTTCAGGTTAGGTACCTAAGGTGTATATAAAACATAAATAAATTTCATACTTAGACTTACGGGGCAGGCCCCATACTCAGCATATCTTATTCTGTATATATCACTATTTCAAAATCTAAAAAAGTTCAAACTTCAAAACTCTTTCAGTCTCAGGCATTTCAGGTATGGGATACTCAGCCTGTATAAAAAAATGAGTCCAACAACTTCGAAAGAATGTTTAGAAAAACTTTACAGCTGTTTTACTTCTTTAAAAAATCCATAATGTATCAAATTTTTCTTTAATAAATAAAACTGAAGAAATCCAAGGAAAATAGCAATATTACTTTATTAATTATATAACACAAAATACAAATAAGGAGAGGTTGAGTAACTCATATGATTCCCTGTGTGTCTCTAGGGAAGACAGCTTTGTGACTTATATCTTCTGAGTTTCTACATTTTAGTCTAAAATATTTGGATGGCCTAAAAGCATGATCTGAAAGGAAAAACATCCAAAAATAGAGCTTTCCTTAAAAAAGTAATTAGAGAAAAATGTAATCTGCGTTCAGCAAAATACTGCCTAGCAGCTCTTAGCAAAGTTTAAAGACAAAGATCATGGCAGGATGTAAGAACTTGCTCTAAAGGAAATAGGTTTCAACATGTCCTGCTAGTTAAGCACCCAGAAACTGCTGCATGAATAAGGAAATTTCCGAATAACTGTAACACACCTTACAAAAAATATTTTGGTCAAGTATATTGCTAAACCATCCTGTCAACATAATACTTAAACCTAGCAAGAAATCCAGACTAACTCATGAGTTCACAAAAGGTGCTTTGGGTTTTTATTCCAACTCGTCAACCACAGTGCTTAAAATTGGAATATAGTTTTAGAGAGCCTCTTCTGTAACTTATTTTACCTCAATATATAGTTCAACTAGCTCCTGATAAACTCTAAAACCAAGTTTATCACTGTGCTTACCAACAGATAATTTGAAGGTCATTTTGGCCATTTGTACATAGACTTACCTATGTGGAAATGAACAATATTTTTTTCCAATGAATGATCCTTTTTTGAATATGCACTACTTAATAATCTCAGTGCATGTGTAGATGAAATGTGTAGCTTTATAAAAGTTAGCACGTTTGATATATTCATGTATCCCCTTTATCATTCCATCTTTCCCAGCCTCATGAAAGACTACCTCCAGAATTTGGGAGCAGGAGCCTGAGTTTTGTGGTTATCATGCCTTCCTGGCTACACACTCACAGTGTCAGAAGAGAAAACAGTAGCAGCTACTAACATGAAACAATGATGTTATCATCATTATCCCCATTTTCTATCTGAAAAAACTGAGTGCAATTTTCAAGCAGTCTTCTGACTAGCAATAGCAAGAATCAAGACATAAATCCCTGCCTTTGGATTCCAAAGTGTTGTATATTATTTTAGATTAGTGACCCAAAAGACAATAACAAGATCAATGTTATTTTATTTATTTATTCATTTTTTGGGAGAGATTTTTGCTATAGGGTGGGTGTGCTCGCCAGAAAGACAGAAAGAGACAGAGAGAGACAGAAAGAGAGAAATCACCTCCCAGAGGGGATGGCCACACTGCAATCCCTTCTCCTCCATTCTCCTCTCCAGACCTTGGGCACACATGCACACGTGCCCGGTGTGAGTTTAAGTCATTGGTTCCCGGACTTGAACCATGGTAAACAACGTGGGAATCCAACAATATAGCCATTACACCAACTGCTGCTCCTGTTCAATGTTATTTTTAATAACTCACACTTGGGAATCAAATTCATTAACAGTCAACACAGAGAGCTTGTTTTTAAATGATTTGCCTTGTATATCGGATTCTCTTGAATGCATATAGGTTTCTCAATCTTTCCCATACCTAGCCTTGTGAGAGAAGGCAATTAGACTATACAATGGCATGATTTTGAAGAATCGAGTTATTACAAGTAGCCTCAAGGATGTTTTGCTTCTGGGCTGTTGGTTAGGATGCTCCTGTTTCCTGGAATGCCACACCTACTCACCTTTGCCTAATTAACTGCTACTTCTAGAGGATTCACCTCCAGAAAGCCTTTACTGGCTTCTCAGCACTGGACTGGTCACCACCTTCTGTAGTTTCCCAAAGCAACTTGCCTTTACCCCTACCCTAGCATCACCATTCTGTATTATCTATGGACTTACCTATATCCCCCAGGACTAATCATTTCAAGAAAGCAGTACTAATGTACTATTCATTATGTATGTCTAATCCCTGGCAAAAATGCCAGGTAATTAGAATGTTTCTAAGTATTATTGAATGAATAAATAGTGTGCTGTTGCTCATATTTCAGGAAACATATCTATACTAATTTAACAAAACATCTACCTGCAAGTACAGACATACAAATAAAAACAAAAGTCTTCTGGGCTTTCTTTAATTTTCTTTAGATGGCTATGTGACCTCAAGAAAACACTTGGGACCAGAAGTTAGCATAATGGCTATGTTGCTGGACTCCCATGTAGTCAACCGTGGTTTGAGTCCCGAACCCAGTGGCTTAAACTCACTCTGGACACATGCGCGTGCGTGCCCAAGATCCCGAGAGGAGACTGGAGGAGAAGGGATTGCGGCGTGGCCATCCCTCCTGGGGGGTGATTTCTTGCTTTCTGTCTCTCTGTTTCTCTCTGGCTTTCTGGCAAGCGCACTCGCCGTCTCCGGCTTTCTGGCAAACCCCCCGCGCGGTATGCAAAAACCCCCCCAAAAAAAAAATTAAAAAAAAAAAAAAAAAGAAAACACTAAACTTCTCCAGAGAGTCTTCATTTATGAGGTAATAATGTTGGAATAAATAGTGCCTAAGATTTATTACAGCTCTGAAGTGCCAATCTTAAATTTCACCTGCAGTAGATAGAGGTGAAGAAAATTAGCATAATGAGGCAAGGCATTTTATAAATTAGGTCTGTTCTGATCTTCCTTATAAAAATCTGTGTGATTCAAAAGAAAACAAAATTACTTCCAATGGTTTAACTCTGAAAAGTAATAGGTCCACTGGTTTAGCTCTGATTTTTAAATGTGTCATAAATCAATGTTCTGGAGAGAGTTAAGAACAACCAACTCAGCCAGTTAGCCTCACATATATAAACTGACCTTTGCAGAGTTCTTGATTGAATATATTTTCAATAAGCATAAAACGCTAGCTGGTTCCTTGATACTGTTATTAACTATTTCATCAACATCAGTGAAATGTTGGATCGCTACCAGATGTGGTTGGGCCTTGGGTGAAGGAGGTAACGTAACTTCTGGGGAAGAGGCCGTTTCAGAATTATGAAACCAGCATTTCACCACATTAGAATACTCTGCAAGGTGGCTTCTCTTACAGCTACCAAAATGCATTCCTGGGGACAGAGGGGAATATTACTTTTTCAAAACTCATGCATAATTTTAAGTATAAACAAGGATAGAAAAGCATGTCTTTCCTAATTCACTAGTATTACAAATTATAGAAATTAAAGCACTTAAGTAACATTTGGGAAGTATCAAGAGAAAAACCCATGAAGAAAATCTGTAATGAACAAAAACCAAAAATATGGCTATGATTCATAATCACTCATTCTTCCATATATATCCAACATCAGTAAAAACGCTAGATTCTGCCTTGTACTTTTCTAAGGCATTGTATTTATTTATCAGCTTATTCAACCATCAAGATGTGGAATAGTTTGTAGAGAGGGCCCCATGGGCATTCCTAGGGGATAACTTATCTGACACCACCCAGGAAATAGTTCTTTTCTCCTTAGGTTTTCAAACCAGCACGGGAAAAGCCTGTCTATGACACAGAAACTCCAGGAAAAAGAATGTGACCACACCCTCTTTAAATGAAATGAGTAATAAGCAAACCTTCTTATTTTAAAGGGCATGAGTAAACATAACATTAATTTCAAAACGTTAATTACAAAGGGCACTTTGTAATTACCACTATGAGGCCTGAATCTATTTAGTTTTCCTTATAAAAGAGGAAATGATCTATGAAAATTCTGCTATTTTGAAAGTTTCCTGCCCCCACCTCTGGGAACACCCACCCCCATGGTGATATTTGTGTGAAACATACACAACTTTTGGAAGCTCATATGCCGAGGAGGAGGAAGAGAAAAACATTCTTTTAAGGCTACCAAAAGAAAAGCACATTCTTTCTTTTTTTTTTTTCTTGCTAACTCACAGTACAATGAGCCTGTATTAAGTAAATTCATCATATTTTCAAAAATCACATTGCTTGCATAAGTAAAAAAATTACTATTTGTGATTCTCAAACTATAAATCTCCAATGTTGTTTTACAGAAAGATTTCTCAAGACATATGAAATACAGCTAGCTATGAAATGTAAAGAAGCACTAACATTTAACAGAGTAATAGGAAAGTTTTCAAAAACAAAAGTAACTCCAAGAAAAACGGTGGCTTACCTTTTGTTTTGCCTTCCTCCAAGGAACTAAAGACAGCTTCTTCTCTGAAGGTTGCAGGCTAGAAGTGAAGCCTTGGGCTTATTTTATAGGATTGGAAAGGAGGCCACACCTAGCAACCAGAAGTTAGTAATTGGCTGCCTTTTGTTTGAAGTACGGGCCTCAGCTTTGCCCAAAAACAAAGTGAAACAAGTCTTGCAAAACTACTCGCTAAACCAACTCAGCTGACAGCACAGAAGAAAGAAAATGAAGGGCGGATTTTTTTCCCTTCTTTATTTTGTACTTTTTTTTTCCCCCTCAGAGTAGGTAGAATGCAATAAATATTCAAATATCTGTTCACTGTCCTAATAGTCCTATCTCCCATCAAGGATTGGCACACTTTTTTAATGAAAGATGTTATAGAATAAAAAGTTGATTGAATTAAAAAAAATAACTTTAGAATTGGGGCTGGTAGTTGGCATGGTGGTTAAGTTGTTAGACTCCCATGTGGTTGACCGGGATTTGAGTCCAGGACCTGGCAACTTGCTTTCTCATTTTCTTTCTCTCTCTATGGTCAACTTAAAAAATAATAATAAGTAGAATTAAATAAATTATTATTTTTCAAAAAACCTCTAGGATTAAAATTCAGGTCCCTCACTTACTACTATGTCACTGTGGGGCATATTTAATTTTCCTGTCCCTTTATCTACTTTTTTCTATAGGAATTATGTTAGCGAGGCTGCCTGATCACTGAGAAATAATGAATACTTACACATTTTACTTTTATGGAATACTCAATATTTTTTGTTTATGTTTACCAGCATTTTTCCTACCTTCAAAATAAAGACTTTTTGTGCCTGTATATATCTTATTGATATGAAAAAATATATAAAAGAAATAAAATTCCAGAGTGGTTCAAAATTTTGACCCAAATTAAGGCTAAAAATTTGATCACAACAACATTCAGTAAAAGTCTATCTATAATTCATTAATTCTTTTGTATAGAATCAGTTACAGATCAGCTTTGGTAGAAGTAGATTCTTAACATGCTAAAGTAGCTGAATAGGAAAACAAAGCCCTGGAACTTTACATTACACACACACGCACAAACACACACACACACACACACACACACGTATTTAGGTTTTTGCCATGGAGTGCTTGAGGTAACCAGAGAGTCACAGAGAGAGGGAAGTGAAAAATCACCATCTTGGAGGGGATGGTCATGTCACAACTCCCCCTCCATTCTCTTCTCAGGATCTAGGGCACTGCACAAACATGCATGCACATCTGCACACACACACACACACACACACACACACACACACACACATTCACTTGATGTTCAAGCTACAAGGTCTGACTAGAAGGTTGAACACATGGAAATCCAGCACCCTAACCACCACACTACCTGCCGGCCCTGAAACTATAAATTAAAAGAACTAACAGAGTAGAAGCTATTATTGAAAAGGTACATCAGAAACTTCCCAGTTGTTATGGGGGGAGGCAAGGGTGGATTCGTCCTGGTAATCTCAATAGTGACTTATTTCTATTCTTCACAGAACTCTACAAAATATGACATGATGTTTTAATTAGTGCAAACCCTCTCACAGCACTATTGTTCAGTTTATGCTGCATTCTATTGTTTTTCATTTTTCTCTTTTTTGCCATAGATATCTCAGGCAAGTATGTATGTAAGGTTTAGAAATTTCAATGAAAATACTACTTTTTTTCTTTTCTACTTTTTGCAATAGGGCATGTATGCTTCCCTCAGCAAGAAAAGGAAAGGGAGGGACCAGCAGTTAGCATAATCGCTATGTCGCTAGACTCCCATGTAGTTGACCGCAGTTCAAGTCCCGGACCTGGTGGCTTAGAACTCACACCGGGTGCATGTGCATGCGTGGTCAGGATCCCCAGAAGAGAATGGAGGAGAAGGGACTGCGGTGTGGTCATCCCTCCTGGGGGGTGATTTCTCGCTTTCTGTCTCTATGTCTCTCTCTCTCTCTCTGTCTGGCGAGCGCATGCGCCCTACGGCAAAAACCTCTCAAAAAAAAAAAAAAAAAAAAGAAAGGGAGAAATAACTTCCCAGGAGGGTGACCATGCTGCAATCCCTTCTCCACTTGGGATTTTGGTAATGCACATACATGTGCTTAGCAGGATTTGCCATCTGTGGGGTCTGGGATTTGAACCATGTAGCTGGCCATATGAGATCCAGTACCTTAACTTCCATGCCTCTTGCCTGTCCCTGAAAATACTTCTTAAATTAAATACTTCTATCAATTTTGAAAGTCAACATATTTTGAAGTAGGAATAATCATCTAATCTAAATATTTTTTAAAATGTCAATCTGTGGTTTTGGCATTAATATAAATGTGTTGAAATTAAGAATAAACTAATTACTTAACTACTATTACTTTGATTTATCTTATTGCAAGTTGGTCTTGACAGATATAGACTAGCTTTCTAAAACTATATGTGTATTGTCAGCTGAGAAGGAAAAAAATGATTATATAAAATCTGATTCTCTTTTTGATTTTCTATTTGAGTGTCTAACTTTGGTAATGGAAAAACTGGAACAATTCCTGTACAGTGGTATTATTGTGAATGGAGAAAAGAATCTAGGTAGTTTTAATAAATAATATAACAACCTAAAGGAAATATATAGCATCATTTCCTTTGATTTTTGTTCATTATCTGTAGCATAAACCAAGTGAAATTGCTTTCTGTATCTAGATTTCTTAGGCATTGAAAAACCTATAATAACGATAATAAACATGGTACTGGAGGCAGAAGAAACATGTTAAAAGAACATTCCTCCCAAATTAACCTCCAGCAGTAACTCTTAAAGGCGAGTGAAACTTTCAAACTTGGAAACAAAAGGATGCCACTAATCATATAGATACATCGCTGTGAATAATCTCTTGGAATCCTTTTGTTCTCATGCAGTAATAATGCCAAGTAGATTTGTGATAATAAAAGAACACATAAAATATGTTACCACTGAAAGCTAAGGGATAGTCATGGGTTAAAGACTTTATGTGAGTGAAATGCCACATACTACAGCTCCAGAGACATGACTCACCACACTTGCTGTTTCTAGAAGCTGGTGATTCATCATCTCCACTTTTTTTTTTTTTTTTTTTGACAAGTAGGGAAACATAAAGTAAAGGAAAAGAAGGAAAGAAAAAGAAAGACACTTACGGGCCACTCTATTTTAATATCACACTTTAATAGCATATTTTTCCCTTTCCTCTAGTGTAGAATCTGAGCACGAAGAGGAGAAACATGGAGTCCTTCAAGTACATCTCATACCTTAGCAGAGCAAAAGAATTTGCATAGGACTGTAGCCAAATATTTTAATAAGTCTTCTTTGCACTCTTTATATTAAGCTCTATTTAAGTATTATTTTTCATATAGGGAAAAAAAGCCATATTCAGAATCATTAAAAATAATTTTTAGTGGAAAACCCAGTCTCTCCACTATTCTTCACACCCACTATCCACTGCCAATGAAAATCATTGCTTTAGTTTTATTTCTAATGTAGTCCTAGGTTAAAACAATTTGGGAGCTAACGTTCTAGAGTTTTCCCTTGACCTCTAAATCTGTCAAATGACTACCTCTCACACGCTCCTCACATACATGCATCCACTGAGTGATATTATGATCTATGTGTTTCAGTTTCTGTCCACAGTTCTTGGCTCATGATCATTTATTTTTGTTGTTCTGGGTTCCCAACACGTCCCAAGACAGGTCATAGAATTGGTCATAAGGAAATTAAGACCCTCATTCCAGAGAGGTCCTGCCCATTCCCAGAAGGAAGGAATGTGCGCAGAGGCCAAGAAATACCTGAACAGGACACACCTTGCTGGGTTTCATTACTCAGCCCATTAGCGTGAGATCATATCCTTTTCATCTGGTCACATTTCCACATGGTTCCAAATAAGTTGCTGTGGCTTAACTGTGCACCTAAAAAGTTCATATGTTGGAAACTGACCTGCCATGTTAATGGTATTAAGAGGAAGGAAACTATATCAAATTACACTATAAAGAGATGTGGTGTTTGTGAGGTGATTACAATTAGATAAGGTCCTCAAAAATGAGATCACATGATTAAATCTTGGTGACTTTATAAGAAGAAGAGAGACCAGAGAAGACACAGACACACACACGCTCTTGTCTTTTTTCCATGTAATGTCCTGCACAGATTTCAGCTCTGCAGAGAGTTAAGCAACAAGAGCCTCACTAGAGGCAGTGCTTTAACCTTGGACCACCCGAACGTGAACTAACTAAATTTCTGTTCTATATTGTTATCAAGTCAGTATTATTCAGCAATAGAAAAATGAATTGAAACACCTGGGACCAGTAGTTACCGTAGTGGCTATGTTGCTGGACTTGCATGTAATCAGTCGACTGTGGTCCGAGTCCCGGACCCGGTGACTTAAACTCATGCTGGGAGTGTGTGCATGTGTGCCCAAGATCCCGAGAGGAGGGACCAGCAGTTAGCGTAATGGCTATGTCGCTGGACTCCCACGTAGTCGACCGCGGTTCGCGTCCTGGACCTGGTGGATTAAAACTCACGCCAGGCGCGTGTGTGTGCGTGCCCAAGATCCCGAGAGGAGAATGGAGGAGAAGGGATTGTGGCGTGACCATCCCCCCTGGGGGGTGATTTCTCGCTTTCTGTCTTTCTGTCTCTCTCTGTCTGTCTGGCGAGCGCACGTGCCCTATAGCGAAAACCTCTCAAAAAAAAAAAAAAAAAAGAT